CCCCCAGCTGCCCCTGCCTGTAGCATGCTCTGCATCACCCATGCTGGGGAGGGAAGAGCTTCGAAGAAGAAGACACAGCAGCAGGGTTTACAAAAGCCCAGTAACTCCATATAGTACATATTTCTGTACTTTTATCTTGAAAAGGGCAAAAAATAACACATCGCCTCAAACTCTTAGGAGCCCTTTTGTTCCTCACCGATCGTGTTGTCTGGCAACAGAGCTGCTTTGTATTTTGCCGAGACCTGTGTCTCAGCTGTATTCTGGCACAGCTACAAAATCCAGACACAGGTTTTGCCCCATGGAAGAAACCATTGAAGATTCAGAGGGAAGGTGGAAGAGAGCTATTCATTCTTAAATAAAAACTTGAAGAGAAGCTTTCAAAAAGAAAAAGACTTTTCAGCGCCCAGTTCTCACAGAGGAGTGGATAAGCCTAGAACAGATATTTTTTTCCTGAGAGCACTTTATTTTTTTCCAGTTTTTAATAACATGTATCTATATATATGCATGTAGATAAACAAATAGGAAGATATCTAGGTCTTTTCAGAAACTCAGAACAATAACCCAATGACGTTTTGGCATTAAGCAACCTTAAGAAGTAGCTTAGCTCTGTAAGTCTGTTTACTTTGCTCAAGTGTTTCTAATAAATACTGTCTCCTTCACAGCTGTACCTCTTAGAAGCACCACTACCTTGGCACTAGATTGCAAGAGGCTCAGAGTATAGATAGAACAAGTGAAGTGGCCTTGTTTTACCAGCACAAGGCCTCTTGAGAATGCAGCTTCACTGGTACAAAGCATCATTAAGCTGAGGCAATGATGCTCATTTTAAAGGGATAAGCCTGGTCAATGCAACAAAGCATCACTGGAACACTCTGGAGTGAAGACACCCTCTGACACATGAGGACGCTTCAGCAGCCAGACAGTGGTGGCTTAGTAGAGTACAGGAGCTGCAATATACAAGAAGCAGGGGAGGAAAACTGTCACTGTCCAAAGATAACTCTAGAAATTCTCTGCTTTTGAAAACCAGCACCAGTGAATGTTGCAGGACACTCAGAAAGTGGTATAAGAGAAACAACTCTTACTTATTTCAGAAGTTTCTCAGAGTCTTCAAATCCATGTGCCTTGTCTTTGAAACCTTATTTTTATTTTACTAATTAAAAACTTTTTAAATTGTACTTTCCTTCCTTCTTCCCTTTCTACTGCGATTTAAAGAGCCCTTATGAGCTCCACACACTTTCTGTTTTACTATGATACTTCTCATCTCTGAACATTATAACTCACACTAGCACTAGAAACTGGAGGAACATTTGGATGAAAACTTCAGTATTTGGAATACTACCTTTTTATTTAAGTAATGTTATATGTTGGCAAACTTTTCATTTAGGATGGAAATCAAATCAAGTTCTGACCTTGTGAAGTCACTGTACCCTACAAAATTGCTATTCCTAGGGCAGAGATATGAAATGCCTGCACTCTGGCTTGGGCACATTAAATTGTAATAGAAATACTCAAACTATATCATGAAATGGAGAAATCAGAAGGATTATGATCAGGGTATAAAGTAGATCTTTTGTTACTGTCTTAGCCTCTTAAGCAAACAGGTTTCCGGAAGAAGACTATCCTTACTCTAGAGCACTTTGCCAGACCTTTGTTGCATAGACTCAATTGATCCCCCAAAAATGAACACTGTTGTCCCAGTTTATGAAATTTATTTGAAGTTTTAAAATCTAAAACCCACATTTTTATAATACAGAAATTCAATTTCTGTGGAAACCCCGTTTCCTTCATGATGTTTCTGGTCACTGATCTCTGAAGGTAACATCAAAGCCAAGATACAGTCAACGAACACTAGAACTCATAAAGCTTATATGAAACCTAGAAATCCTTTTTTATTGTGTAATAAAACAAAGTAAATTTAGCTGCCTTCTAACAGCATGGTATGAGTGGATTCAAAATGAGATTATTAAGGGAAGGTTTACCCAGAAGACAGAATGACTAGAATGCAGCATGCCGAGTGGAATATGTACTCCTCTTCCTCACTTCTGAAGAACATTCCATAGCACAGCACACAGCCGCAGTGCACCACAACATTCACGTCTTGTGTCTCATTTTGTGCTCAATTTCAAGACAAAGTTGGTAGTCTTAATTCATTCTAGTCTTCAGATTTTTAGTTGTTCTGGTAATTTACATAGTAAACAAAAAAACCTAACACTGACATGTACAAAGACATATTTATAAGGGAATTTAGACTCATCCACTTGCCTGCAAGCCCTGTCACTGATACTGTTTTCAGCAGTGTTACTAGAACTACTGAGCACTCCAAACAAGATCAGAATCTGTTTACACTAGGTATTTTATATGAGTGAAGTCCCTGCAGCAATGCGTTGAAAATATGTAGATTTTTAAGGTACCAGAAAAATGTAGTTTGGTGATTTATTACTAATGTTAACCCTATGCTTTTTTTCAATTCATTTTAGCAGTTGAGAGCAAGGTCATCTATTTTTGTGGGATTCACAATGAGCTTGTGACAACTTAAACAATAAACTGAAAGGTTCTGACATGCAAGTGTGCGACAAGTCTGGAGCTGTACTCTCATGCCTTATGCAAACCAAAAGCGAGACCCAGCAGAAACCAGTAAGGTTACACTTACAGGAATGATGCAGACACATCCAAGCTCACTCTAAACTAGGCCAGAGTTCATCCAGGCTGTAAATCTTTGTCCAAGAATAAGGGCAAATGTTCAAGCAGTTCATCTGTTTCAGTAGAAAAAACAATGCCGAATTCATAGAGGAGAGGAGAGCAAAACTCTGTGCAGCTTAGCAGTCAGGGTACAGAGCTCAAAGAAAATCCCAGATGAGAGATAACCTACGAAGGAAAGACTATTTCTCTTTTCTCCAGTAACTGTTTATTTGCAGACACCAATTTACTGTGTGAAAAAGCATAATTTGTTGTGAAGTCCAATCCTGTTGATGTGTGTTATATATTACCTGAGATACCATCCTGGATCAAGACTCTCATGGGACCTGAGGCAGGAAGGTCTTACTTAGTTAGACTTACACATCTTCTAGATATAGAGCTTCTTAAGCATGTGATCATATAACCTTCAGGAAAGGTGCAATAAATTATCTTGCATGCAACTGAGAGTAAGAGCAGCCCACCCCCAGGAGCTGCCTGGGAGTAGTAAGTTAGCTTTAAATCTACCCACCCTAGCTTGTATTCTAGTAATTTGTTCACCATACCCTCAGGTCTGAAGATCTTGCCATGACAACAAAGTATATACTAGCCTGTAGTACCCAAATGTCTTTCTTACATCAGTAGCATCAAAAGGTAGTTCTACAGAATCGCTTAAAAATAAAACAAGGTTCTCTCATTCTAATCTCAGAAGCTGCTCATACCAACTTTCCTTTAGTATTCACAAATTGTTCAGACTGATGCAGAGCACATTACCCACTACAACACTACTCTGAATATGGATCCAAAAAATACAAGTTAGGAATCCATTCAGTTTAAAAATGAATGGACATATTTGCATGTTTCCAGTTACCAGCCCACCACTGGGCAAGCTTCTAAAGCAGCAGGCTGAGCTTTTCATTCACATCCACCCTCAACATCCTTGAACTAAACACACCTATCAGGCTTTTATGTGTATCCCTGCAAGCCATGTTAAAACCAGATGAGTGACACTAAAAGCATCAGCTGGCTTCAGAAATCTTTGACAAATATGACAGGAGAATGATCTTTCCTTATTTTCAAGTCATTTAGGAAAACACTCTCATTGCTTGGCTTACCTTCTGTCTAACCACTCCCTTAGTAGACCTTGAAGCAGTTTCCAGAACACATTCCATTTAAAGAGACATTTTCTCACAGCTGACAGGTAAAAAACATCCAATTTCAAACAGTACAGGGCTGCATTTATCCTGGATGTAAGTATGTGGAACTCCAGGGATACTGTGAGGTGCTCTCGCCCTGCAATAGGACCAATCAATCAGCTTTATCCATAGACCATGGTCTATGGAAAAAGGCAAGATTTCTGTGGTGACTGTGCTACTGGGTACAGTTGCTGGATGCTGGGGGTCCGCATGAGATCTGCCCAGAGATACCAAAACAACCTTCCCTAAGGTTTTTGGATAACTCTTCTTGCCTAACAGCACTATTCTCCCCTCAGTGAACAGAGCTGATGGCTCTTGTCAGTACATTCTCTGCCTAAGTGCAGGAAATGTTAAGACCCATAAACAAATTACACTACCCAGGATGAAAGCTAAAATCTATTTCTTATACATGAGACTCAGCAGTGCAACTGAGTCCATTCTGAGCTTTGTTCCAGCAGCTATCAATATAGATGAGGAGTTGCATTTCAGTCCTCAGTTTCAGAAAGCTGGCAAAGAAAATGTCAAAGATGATTGTTTTATGCATACTCTTACATGTAAGAAGATTAAGAACAAGTTTGACTAGTTTTGAGAAAGAGCAGAAAATCCAGCATTAATCATCTACCAAGATCCAATGTTCCAACGTTTCTCATTAATTCCTCTGCTTGTCTGCCCATCTACTTCTAAGCCGGGTCATTCAAAACTCAAAATATTTCAACACATAATGAATTAATCATGAGAAGTAATCTAATGTAGTATGAAAGGAAAGTAAAATTCAAGTATATAATCCATTAGTTATTAGCTTCAACTCGGATCTGGTCAGGCATCACCGCTAAGCATACAGGAGCATGAAGCTTCCTCCCATTCCTTGCTCCTTCTATGCCGTTTCTGAAATAGTTTTCTATATTCAGGAGAAAATGGTGCACTGCTGTTATTGCTCTACATGTTTCAGTACAATGCTTTGATACAGCTCATTCTCAGAGTTTCAGTTAATAATCTTCACTACCAGCCTTAAAGAAAATCAGAAAAGACAGTAACAGTTCTGCTCAAACAGGACAAGAATTTATACGGTTCATTTACCCTCAGTAGAGAAACATTCAGAAAACAAAAATAGTATCTTCCCATTTTTTTTTTTACCTCAAGAAAAATTGTGATCAGCTTCCATTTGCCTAGCTTGTAGCCGCTTGCCAGTTTCTCTAGCATCCTGTAAAATCCTGACTGCAGCACAGCATTCAGAACTAGAGAACGGCCAGTGTGCTTCAGCAAGTGAGCCAGAGAAAGGGACAGCTTAGTATTATTTCCATAGCAGAGGGAGCAAGTGAACAAGTTGTGCTGGCTTTACAGACACCAAGAAGAAGCCAAGGCTGCCTACATTTAAGGGAACTCTCTGCCACTATGTATTTCTTGTGCGTAGAAGAGCATACAAAAGTGAAGGCCAATAATGCAGTGCTTAAGTAACTTATGGCAACATAAATATTGTGAGGTTGTACAAGTAGACAACATGAGACATCTGATGTAAAGCTTCAGCCACCAAAACCAGCCTCTCCACGCAAAAATTAGTATTATTACCAATTAGAGCAAATACCTTTACATTTAGCAACAAAGGATTTTGTTCTGAGAAGAAAGCACACTGTCCATTCCTTTCTTTTTGCTTTCAGACTGTAAGAACATTAACTACCCTTAATTCCCTAGAGTAGTCTTTCAATAGCATAGTCATTCAGTCCTCACCACGCTCATGTACCTTTTCATTTCCTCATACTCAAAAACTAAAGTCACATAAAAAGCTCCCGTATCACCCCCTATGGAAAGCAGCTCTAAGCTTAGGGTATTGAAAAGGAAAGTTATAAATCTGGTTTTTGGGGGGTTTTGTTTTTGTTTTTAGTTTATGGTTTTGTCAATTTACAAAATCAATTTAAAAATCTGAAAGTCACATCTATCTCTGAAGAACACCTTCCATCAGCACTGGTGGAAGGGAATACAAACAGACCAAGTATAGGGTACAAGCTGTGTTGCTGCATTAGCATTTTAATTTGTATCACGTTTTGAAGCATTGCCTTCCCAACTCCACTCATTGCACTTTTGGTTCACATTATGGAAATTCTCTGTGTATGCCTACTTAACTGTGGCATTGTGGAAATAAACATCCAGTATATGGGACTCAGAGCTATATCATGCTAAAATTCCCACAGCATAGGTAAAAAGCCTTTTGCAGGAAGGGGGACCTTACAGATCCACTTTGATTGCACTACCCTATCTGTTGACATGAACATAATTATCAGTTTGAAAATCTTGCAGGAAAAAAGATAGATATGAAAGGTTAAGCTTTTTAAAGTTGCTGGTTTGAGTCCCCCTTCCCTCCCCAAATGTGAACCTGAATTTTCTGTTGGTTTTTAAAATAACATTTAAGACTCAAAACTTGATTTGAGTCTAAATACCAACTCAGAGTTAATCTGTGCTTTTAAAGGTTGTCCATAAAAAGCCTGAATTTTTAAACTCTTTCACCCCATCAGAAGGGAAGCTAAGGCAAAACCAGAACAAAGTTAAGTTGATGCCAGACAATCCCAAACACTCCTATTTTTACTGCAAGTTAAAAGTTTCAAGGTAAAGTTGATGGGCTCTACCATAAGTATAAACCAAGTCTGACAGAACACATGAACACAAGACTGAGAGATACTAAACATTTTCACAGTTGAAGGTATAAGATACCCTTACTTGCTATAACAGTAAATGAATTACCACAAAAGGAATCCTTAAAGGATTCCTGTCTTGATATATTCCTACATATGCACAAGACAATCTCCTGAAGTCAGAGTCACTCTCTCATTTTTCTATATTTTTTTTAAGTTCATGTTTATAATGTACTTTCAATTTGATTTGACTTGATACAAGGCCTAACCTCCATGCTGCATCATCTCTGGTGTTGCCAAGAGGCAGGCCTTGGAACAGTGTTTCAAGTCCTGCTGAATGTCAGGGAGGCAAGAGCTTGCATAGCCAAACCACTAAATCACTAGCTAATGTTGATGTCACAGTGATGAAAGTGCTTATCTAGGCTAACTGCTCCGTAACACGCTTTCCCACTTTTTACATGCAACTCCTCTGCATAAAGGACATACCTTGACTCTTAGCATGCACCATCAAACACGTATTCTGAGAAGTATCTCAGTATGCGAAAGCATCCTGCCAAGGCCTTCAGAAACGTTTTCAGTGAACATATTTCAGCCAGCAAAAGTAAGCAATTAAACTTTTATTTATAATCATTTACATATGACTAAAAACATTCCCCACAAAATGCATACTTTCAGTTATCTTGTATTGAGCAGTGAAAATAGTAATCTCTTCATAGTAAAGCACCAAGGAGTACATCACAGAACAGTCAGAAACAGATTCCACATTATCAGTTTTTCCCCCATCACAATGCACATGACAAAGCTGAAGATCTTATAAAAAGCCTAAAAGTTCCAGAACAGATTCCAGAGTCACCTGAGTGCTTGGCAGGAACAGCATTATTTAGTAGCAGTTACATTTTTCTGACATTTTTTTTTTTTGCAAGAGAGCTACTTTTCACAAAACCAAGACAGATACAATTATGCCAAACATTGGGGTGCATATTTCATTGGGATTTTTTTAAATAGGAGTCAAACAGAACAGTTTGCTAGTAGAGTACCTACAACAACTGTAAGAGCAGATGTCAAGAGGAAAGAAAGAAAAAAGTCAGCTCATTATAGCCTGATAGGTGCCTGTAAGCAGTTGGGCCCCTACCAAGACCCACTACTCACTCAGCTTTTTCCATTATGTTTAATTAGCATTTCATTCAAACATACTACATTTAAGACAACAACATGGGTTTTTAAGTTAAGTTGTGTACATGGACAAAAATACCTGTACACAGTTTTGGTAGTTATTTAAAGCTGTAAAACTTACATGTAAAGGGGGGGTCCTATGGATCCCATTACGGACTAAAGAGAAATAACCATTATCAGTGTTACATACAGAACAATATTCTAATACAGAAAATAATACAGTTATCAAGTAATTCATTAGGGAGTACAATTGTTATACAAAAAGAGAAATGCTGCCTTTTTATCACTTCAGAACAGCAAATAAGAAGGCAACATTAGGAAAAGTGCACAGCAGAAAAGAATGGTTCAGTTTTCTGAAAAAGTGGATTTTTTTTCTTCAGACATCAGGCTTTTATCTGGAAAAATACTGGATTAGGATTGCTTATGTCCTCTCCCAGCTCAATCTCTTCTTGCATTAGCTCTCGGTAAGGCGCTTACTCTGACATGTAGGAACGATACATCAGGGCCACGATGATTGCTGCTATTGCTGGGATCACCCAGTTGGACCATGAACTGGAAGGAACGTTTTGAAACAGCAGTTTAGGAAGTGACAACCAGCAAGTCAAAACGAACAAACAAACAAAAACTTCTAACAAACAATATCATTGCTTACAGAAGTCCTTCCTCCCCACACCAACAAATACTTCAAAGGCACGGCAGCAAAATACCTGGCTGGCCACTAACACTCTAGCCAAGTAAAATAAATCTTGTACTGTTAAGGCCTTGTACTAGAGCTTACAAGAAGTTTGCTTACTAGAGTAAAGCTCTAGTAAGTAAGCAACATTTAAATCATGGCATGCTGCCCAGAGTATCATTCATTCAAAAGCCATTCAAGCAGCACATCATGTGACACTTCCAAGCACCCAAGCTCCCCACTGAGAGGCACGGAACAGTCCTCTGACATTTCAGCAAAAGCAATTGTCAGCAGGATATAACTTCATAAAGTTTGATTCAGTGGTGTTTCAAAGTGTTCTTCCCCTGCCCCAATTCTGACAGACTTTCCTTCTTACAGACATAATCCTCTTATTTCCCCTAGATGTATGATTTGCTACAAGTATTGCAAGGAAGGTGTCCATGTCAGTAAAAAGAGTCAGGCATGGCACCAAATGTCTTCTATTCACCTGGCAGTCACCAGAAATGAAAGCTTGTGAGACATAAACCATTTGGTAGATGCTGATACCTATCAAAGTGAGAAAAAAAATCTAGCTAGTAAGCCAACATGCTTGTAAAGTGGTACACAGATGCCAACTTGGACTTCATGTAGAAAAGAAATGTTCATGCACCACCCTCTGACATCTAAGCTTCCAGCAGACAGCAGCTATTCAGAAACGTAATCAGGAGGAACTTCAAGTTTGACATCAGGTGTCATACTATACCTGGAACTGGACTGAACAGTGGTAATAAGAGGTTCCTGGAAAGCAAAGCATAAAAAGATACATCAGGGAGACATTCCACTCCATCACCACTACCCCCTCAATTTTTCAAGACTCATTGTCAGGGTTTAAGCCTAGCCTGCTACTAAGTAGCATGCTGAAAACAGGACACTCATCAAGTGAGATTAATTTAAAACCAGCTCTGTGCATTGCATTTGGAAAGCATTTTCTCAGAACTCTCATAACAGACTGTTGTCTTAGAAACCAGTTAGCAGCAGTTTCTGTATCAACACTGCATCAAGTGTTATTAAAAGAAAAAAAAATATCGCCACAAAGAATTTTGTTCTAAGTTTTCATGAAGCCAACTTCAGCCTAAGGTTATGAAAAGCCTACCTTATGAGAAGTTCTAATTGCCTAAAGGATCCCTTACTTGTCTGAAATCTAATTAAAAAACACTCTAGTTCAGAGTGTTTTCAATTAGATTTGAACTAATACACAAACACTTCCTTTATCAAATCTACAATAAGAAAGCTACTAATTTACATGCACGAGGCTTATTAAACTCAGGTTTTTAGTGTGGTGTTTCAGATAGCTTAAGCATCAGTCAAATTATAGCTGTTTCTGATACTGATTTGGACACCTTGTTCAGTTTCCACAGGAAAAGTGCTACAAGATCAAATCCCAGTTAGGTACATGTGCACATTTCTATGAAGACTTACTACTTTGAATATTACTAACCGCACATGGCCCTAGTGCATTTATAAGATCCAAGCATTCAAACTGTACTTCAATTTCCATCACTGAAAAATTAGTTGTCCCAGCATAAATGGACTGCAAATACTCTGAAAGAGCAAGAGTACCAACACCCTCTCATGGGTTCAAACAGGCTCCTTTTGGAAGCACTCAAAACATCACAGGTTTGGATGTAACCATGTTTAAGAGTAGGACACAATGATTACATCTATACTGGTGGTGTGAATATCTCCATGAAAAACTAACCCCAAAGCCAGACAGCATGGAACAACTTGTATCTACACTATCAAGGCTAACACCTCATACAACAAACAACCTGTCACACCCAGGGCCAGGGGATGGCTCCCCCCTTGCCAAGACAGTAAGAAAAA